TGTGGTTCCACTTTTATGGGGACAATCTTTTTTTTCTTTTCTTTTTTCTTACAGAGGCTTCGTGATTGCTTTCGACCTGATCATTCTTGTGAATGCTGTTTTCATCGGTCTGGATGAGGAGAACCCCCTGATCTCTAACTCAGAATGGGTTTTCCTGACTCTCTACGTTTTTGAGATCTTCTTGAAACTCTACGTGTATGAGCCCAGGGCATTTTTCTCCAGACACAGTTTCTGGAACTGGTGAGGACAATTTACATTTAATAACACACACTTCATTCGCTGTCATTTTTTCCCCTTAAAGACAACAAATGACTGGTTATCCTCTCATTTAGTGCGGGCAGCTTTAAATGACGTTCCGTTGGTAAAATGAACAAGCAGAGATCCAGAGTTTGAACAGATAAAACCCAACTAAATAGAATGTCAGTATAGTTTATCTACTGTCAATGACTGATTTAACATTTTCCTTTTTACGTGCATACCTCAAAACATTACAGTGCATTATATCACCAGACACCCTCCTCACCATGACTGTGCCTTGAAACTGTGTCCTTGAGTGCCACAAACAGGATCACAGATGAGGGAAAGTCCTGGTGACGTCCAATGGGTAGTGGAAACAAACTCCACTTTGTGCTGAGAATTTACACAGCCTTTGATTTAGTTATACAGATACCAGATCATCCTTAAAGTGACCAGCAAATACCCCCCACCCACCCCACCCCACCACCACCACACACGGAATACGTAGTTCTCATGTGATGCAACATCCGGGCACTTTGTCATTAACCACCATCTTTGTAGGCAGTTTGTAGCTGTAGACACAGCTGAGTAAGTTTGTCAAGTATTTTTTCTTTAAGTAAATTGCAATGGTTGTTTTGTGCTGGGTTAGAGAATGTTCCAACCGGGCAGACAGTTCGGCAAAGCGCAGTTTTCACTTGATCCCGAAAATCAGGAAATGCCAAGGACCTCAAACGGAGTAGCTGAGTGTAGACCGTCATCAAGTCTGGCTTGGAAACATCGACCGCAAGGAACCGCCTTCAAAAACATCAAAAATCTGCTCATATCACTTTTATTCCATCCATCCATCCATTCTCTTCCACTTATGCGGGGTTGGGTCGCGGGGGTAGCAGCTTAAGTAGGGAGGCCCAGACTTCCGTCTCCCCAGCCACTTGGGCCAGATCCTCCGGGGGAATCCCAAGGCGTTCCCAGGCCAGCCGAGAAACATAGTCCCTCCAGCGTGTCCTGGGTCTTCTTCTGGGTCTCCTCCCGGTGGGACACACACACACTTTTATTCTGTTAAACAAAAAGTGATTAGTCATTTTGCTAAACAATGTCAGAGTATAAGTGCATGTGTGCTGGAACTACTCTGTTACATCTCTACTGTAGTTACCTTAGCTATGCTATGTACTAAACCTCCACACTATAACACGCATGGCAACAATGTGCTGGTTCTAGCCTCATGTTTGAGTCTGGGCTCTTTTTGTTAGGAGGCTGCATGTTAATATTTTGTTTAAACTTTTATTTAACCAATTAGATGTGACTGAGACTTAAAAATGTCTTTTTCAAGAGAGAATGGGTCAAGAATGACAGCAGCACACAAACGGTACCGCTCATAAAACCAGAACACCTTGTATCTGCAGACTTTGAGAGACATGTACGTGTATATTATTTGAGTTACTCTGCCAGTCACCAGAACTTTGTTATTCACATGAAGAGTTCGGACATCCTTCACACATCTATTAAAACACTGAATGAACGCATTCACTGATTTCTGGCTGCGAAGTTCCTCCATTGTGTAGGCACTCTGCGTATTCTCTAAATAATTAACAATATCACTTGTGGCAACTTGTCCACATTGTCTGACGTGTCTTTCTCTACCTCATACTCGACAGCAGCAATTTTCTGCATATATCTTTCACTTGCACATTGGTCAAGAGTATCAATTTACACTGCCTGGCCAAAAAAAAGGTTGCCATCAAAAATAAAAGGTCACATTAATATTTCGTAGGACCGCCTTTAGATTCGCTGTGGCATTGTTTGGATAAGCTTCTGCAATGTCACAAGATCTATTTCTATCCAGTGCTGCTAATTTTTCACCAAGATCTTGCATTGATGATGGCAGATTCTGACCACTGTGCAAAGCCTTCTCCATCCATCACATCCCTAACCACTCTTTCACAATTCCAACCCGATGAATCCTGGCATTGTCATCTTGGAATATGCCCGTGCCATCAGGGAAGAAAAGATCCATTGATGGAATAACCTGGTCATTCAGTATATTCAGGTAGTTGGCTGACCTCATTATTTGAGCACATACTGTTGCTGAACCTAGACCTGACCAACTGCAGCAACCACAGATCATAGCACTGCCCCCACAGGCTTGGTAACAGTAGGCACTGGTCATGATGGGTGCATCACTTCACCTGCCTCTCTTCTTACCCTGATGCACCATCACTCTGGAACAGGGTAACTCTGGACTCATCAGACCACATGACCTTCTTCCATTGCTCCAGAGTCCGATCTTTATGCTCACTAGCAAACTGAAGCCTTTTTTTCCAGTTAGCCTCAGTGGTTAGTGGTTTTCTTAAGGCTACACAGCTGTTCAGCCCCAATCCCTGGAGTTCTTTCACATTGTGTGTGTGGAAATGTTCTTACTTTCACTGTTAAACACAGCCCTGAGTGCTACTCTTGTTTTTCTTCCATTTGATTTCACCAAACATTTAAGTGATCACTGATCTCGATCATTCAGGATTTTTTCCGGCCACATTTCTTCCTCGAAGACGATGGGTCCCCACTATCCTTCCAGTTTTTAATAATGCATTGGACAGTTCTTAACTCAATTTTAGTAGTTTCTACAATCTCCTTAGATATTCTCTCTGCTTGATGCCAATGATTTGACCCTTCTCAAACAGACTGACATCTTTTCCACAACCACAACATGGTTGTTTAAGAAATGAGAAGCAACTGATTGCACCGGTTGGGGTTAAATAACTTGTTGCAGCTGAAACATAATCGCTCATGCAGTAATTATCCAATAGGAGGCTCGTACCTATTTGTTTGGTTAAATCCAGGTGGCGACTTTTTTTTTGGCCAGCCAGTGTACTTTGCTTTGGTCTGTCTAAAACCAACATGATCATCGTCTAGTGCTAGCCTACAAAAATGGTGGAAAAGTGGTATTGTGCAATACAGGTTGAGTTTGTGGGAACTATGTATTCCTCAGGGAACACTATCCTAAGCCAGATCCACAAAACACAGATGGATGGTTCGGCAAACTCCCCTGACAGCAATCCTGCACAGATAAAGACCCGGTTCACTGTTCAGTGACTGGGACATGCTATTCTGCTTCTCCTGAATCAGATGTTCAACAATAGGCCAAGGTCTCTCTTTCAGCACCCTGAAGGAAGCTTTACAAGGGAGGTGGCAATGTATGATCTATATTAATGTGTAGTTTGGTGGTTAAAAATCTCCACATGTACCAAGTGTGTTCCAGATTGATGTTTTGCCCTATCAAGGTAAAATCTACATCCAAGGTTTGTGCTGGTTCTCATTTCTGTGGATTGTCCTTTATTTAATTTTGTTTTTAGTCAGATTATGTAAAACCCACCAAGCCAAATTTCCTAACGCTTAATGGATAATTGAAGCTTGAGTAAAGAAAGAATCATGAAATAAAATGTAAAACACTTGAAATGTAAAACCACTCAGCTTTGTGTCCATTTCACACAGTTTACCTACATCCCAGATTATCAGTACAAGGTATGTTGTAACGTTTCTGTTTTACTATCGGCTGCTTTGTTTCTTTTTTCAGGGGGTTCTGGTCTGTTTTGTACTTCTGCCAAGTTGTTTGTTCAGACTGTACCCATACATTTTAGGTACAAAGATACTCTTTCACAGGTCTCTTTGTACCCTCCTTGACTTGCCTCATATCAACCTTACATCTCTACAAAATTGATGAATTAATCTATTGGAGCTTTTTTATTTATGTTTTATTGATGAGCAGATTTGAACCACTACCTTTAAGTGGTGGGATGCAGTTGCTTGTGTCTGCATGCGTTTATTTGCCTGTCTGTTGGCAAATATATCAAACCACTGAATTCATCTTTGAATTTACCAGATGCACATCAGTAGGATTTACAGATGTTCTGATAATGTTTGGTATGGTAGTAGTTGAGAGTCATTTCCAACACATAGTCTGAGATCTAAAAAAAAAATTGTGTAAAGTTTTTGCAGGGCTTAATTTGAGCTGGATCCTGCCGGAACAAGATCCGGGAACTCTTATTTTGACCGGGTGCATTCCAGTAACTGTTTCATGGATCCGGTAACTCTCGAGCCCAATAATAATAATTTTTTGAACAAATTTGACTGCCTTGAACGAATAAAACTTATATTGGATATGTAAACTGAAAAAATTACATAAACACTCATTTTAAACATAACAAGCTTTTTAATATCACATCAGAGCTGTCTCTTCACATTTCTGCTTCTGCTCTTAAAAAAATCTACGCCCCTAAAAGTTCAAAGTCATGGGCAATTTTATTAAAAAACACAAAAATATAATTAAACATTTTGTGCTACGCATAAGGCAGTTTTTTGTCCAAGTGTGGCTGAAAACTTAGAGCAGCGCTTGCTTGTTCCACGGTGCAGAGCCGGGAGGAGGATGAGGAGGCGCACCTGACCGCAGTGTGGGATATAGTAGGGTAAAGAATGATCCTGCACTTAATACACATAAATCAGACATAAAGCATTTAAAAGTGAATTAAAAATATGAACTGGCTTCTGTGGTAATTTTAGCCCCTTTTTGGGGGGTGCTCAAGCACCCCTAAAGTTTATCTCGGCTCACGAAAAATGAAGAATCCATCAATAGGATTTTATAAGGAACCTCAGTTCTCAAACCTTAGATTCATCAAAATATTAAATAAATATGGAATAAATGACGGCAGTCTTAAACGAGCCAGTAAAATCATATATATGTATATATATATTTTTTTTTTGCACGAGTCCCGCCACCTGTCAGTCAGTCCTGTAGGCACGTCAGCAACTGACCAATCAGCGACCTCAATTTGTCCTGAATGAACGCCCCTTACCTGCAGAGCTGCAGTGGTGCTGCATTGCAAATGCTTTGCAGTCATTTCAATAATGAGTTTACATCTTTTGTTTCATGTTAATCTTCTGTAATAAACCTTTGTAAAATGCACCAGAATGCAGGAAATGGCATCTACTTCATTCAAAATTCTCTGGGGGAGGACCCCCCAGACCCCCCCCCCCCCCAACATCCCCCCCAACCCTGGCCCGCCCACTATTTGCGTTCTGGCGTCAGTTGGTTTTCAAATTAAGCTCGGGCAAGGTGGTAGGCAATGTTTACTTCTTAACAGAATTCTAGTTTCAGTTGTAGATGATTGCTTTGAGTTTCAACATCTGTCCAGTACTTTGTGAGATATTTTGCTAACAGGTTGAACACAAATGCACAATAATGTTGTTGACTGAAGTGAAGAACAGCTTGATGCTGTGCAGGGTCATGGGGAGCTGCGGTCTGTAATGACATGCACGCATGGTAAGCCCATGGTACGAAATGTCACCTGCTGTGTACAAGGTGAGGGTACGACTTGGCAGAAGTACAAATCAACCAGCACTTTTTGAGCTGTCCATTTCAAGAAGTGCTTGGAACAACTTTATGATGCCTGAAGCAGCAACCTTTTTATTTATTTATTTTTCATTTGAGCGTTAAGGATTAAAGCAACTTTTGAAGTCTGGAGCCTCATTTACAGCCACAAAGTCTGAAAATAAAAACTCAACATTTGAAAAGGGAAAACCATAAATAATTATTTTTTTCCTTTAAAAAGAAATAATTCATTGTATATAACTTGATTTGGTCATTCCATCATTTTTCTCTCATAGTTTTTCTTTCAGACTTTTTATTGCAAACTTTTGTAGTGTTTATTGCATCAGCCTGCTTTAAATACCGCCTACACTCAGCGTGCAGTTATTTCAGCCCATCGTAGGATTTATGTAGAGTCTAATGGCTGGTTTATGAAACTGGTCCTTTACTCTTATAAAACAGTGTGCATTATATTGTGATGCATGTTCTAATAAAATTAAATCCTGTATCATCTATGTAACAGGTATGAAGGTCACACAGGAAACAGAAAATGGTGCTTCAGATGAGTTTCAGCCACTGGAGTGGTTCATACTGTGGCCGTCCCAAAATTCTTGTGGCGTTCAATGTCAGCCTATTTTTCATGTGTGAAACTCACCACTCTATCAGCTTCATTAACAGTGGCTGGTCAGTGGAATATTTAAGATTTCATAAATATTCAGTATACAAACAATTTGTGAATATGATGCACATAATGAATGTTTTTAGTGAATGTTATTATATGAACTCTATGGGTTTGGTACCTCTAACGCAGCAGCTACTGCCTAAGCTGAAGTGATAAGCCATGCTGCTTCATCGTCTCTGATGTCCCTCAGTACATGTGCTCATTTTTTGTGCCGCCATTCGTCAAAACGATGAGAAAGTGGAGGACCAGATGTAGTTTGCAGTTTTACTGGTGGGTCATCCAGTGACGTAGCTTTGCTGGCTAATCAACGGCTGCCGTCTGCTTACGTTAAAATCGGCCCCTCGAAGCAGCACCCATGGAACTACTGGTCCAAACGAGGCGGCTTTATAAACCGAGCCGAGTGGAGGTGGGTACAGACAGCGGAGAGGCCCCAGTGACCCAATGAGAAGGTGCTGCTTCTCAGACGGAGGTGGTTGCAGCTTCTCAGACTGAAGAAGTTTTTTGGACAAAAGATGAAACGTTTCAACAAGAAGAACCCATCCAGAGGACCTGACCTACCTTTAAGTTCATGTACTTGGATTACTGAGCACGCATGAAGACATTTTATAGTTTAGAGTTGTTTCAAGAGGACAGTCATCTACATGGCTCTGTATGTTCTGTGCATTAGTTTGCCATCTGCTCCTAAACAGGTCTCTCTTGAAAATGAGTTCTCGTGGCTCAATGAGACTACCTGGATAAATAAAGGCTAAATGGGGTGGGGGGATTGAGACCGAACACATCACTTTAAACTGTGAAACCATTATGCTGCAGCTGTGCACATATTTTCCTATTTCATTGGCAATTTTTGCTTTTTCCCAGTTGGATCTCCTGCTGGTGAGTCGTGAATGTGCAGTGACTTTTCCCAGACATGCTTGCAGTGTTGGTTTTTATTCTTCGAGGATGAATTAATAGAACTGGATGCTGGATTGACCCAGAAAAAGGTTAAAAAACTAAAACAACTGGACTTCTATTCTGAAGCTGAAGAAGTTCTTGTTTTGTTTTTTATTTTTTAACCTTTTTGTTGGATTGATCATGACCTGGGTGACTGAAAATCTTAATTGCTGAATTGATCAGTAATAAACCACTATTTATTTTTGTGTTTATTTAAATGTATTGGTTGGCTTTAAGTTTAATAAGACACTTTTATTTAAAATAAGATCAAATTTCTATTTTTTTTTTTTTTTACATTATTAATACTTGACTTTGAAAAATATGTCCAGTCAACTTTTATATAGAAGTTTAGAAATTGGGGCATTAGAGTTTTTAGGATTTTTTTTGTTTATTCACATTTTGTTTTAGCCACATTATCATAAGTTGCCTCTTGGTCAAATTTGCATCATCCAGCTTTTTTAATACATCCCTGTTTTGTTTCTGTATTTCTAGTGCCAGACTGTCATGGTGTAAACAAAAATGTATGAAATCTTCCAGTTTTCAACAACGACTCGTCTCTGCAGGTTTGACACCATCATTGTCATCTCAGCTCTTATCGCCACCATCATAAACTCTGCCATGAAGTCATGTAAGTACTTTTTATTTTCATTTCAACGATAACAGCACAACGTATAATAAACTAAAAGATAATAAAACCAACTCTAAATGAGTATTTAAAGAGAACACAGTTGTTACTGAGCCTTGGTGGTTGTTTCTGTCCTCAAAAAAGAAAATGAGTATCTGTCACCAAACTGTCTTTCTTTGTAACGGTTTCTATCCCACATAGCGGGAGGGTACACCAGCCGACAGATCCTGGACATTGTCTTCATCCTGCGAATCCTCAGACTGATCCGGGTGGTGGACAGTATCCAGAGGTTTGGCTCCACATGTTTCTGAGTTTCCCTGGACACACAGGGCATTGGTCTCTAGTAAAGGTTCGACATGTGAGCTTAAACGCTGTCGAGTAAAACGATATTTTGCCACTGCCTCATCTATGATTATACTTATGAACCAACAGAGGACCTCATCTTTTCTCCTAACTTACTCAGATTATTCTTTTTTGATTGGTTCATATGTTTGATAAGTATAGTTTTCCTGTGTCTGAACAAGTTTTACTTCTATTCTCTGTTAGGTTTCAAACAATCATCAATACGCTGATCAGGATTGGACCAGCCATTCTCACATTTGGACAGCTCATTATTGTAAGTAGATTAAAACACGACCAAACCTTTAAATACGGTGCTGGATGTCCTCAAACGCCTGAAAATAGAGCTGTAGCGTGCAAACCACAAATACAGGTATTCTCGTGGCTCTTGTTCAAAGCAGGAAAAATGTGTCTGACGGTGTGTCTAACGCAGGCCTGCTGTTAGTCACAACATGCAGGAACCTTCAGTAAAATGAGTGAGTTGCAACAGTTCCGATGTCGAGTTAAACCTGATGAGCTGGTGGAAAAGCAACGAGTCTGCAGATATTTTTATTATCACTGAGAGAAATGAATGACTGATTCAAAGTTTGACACGTCAGTGATATTAAGGCACTAGGTGAACATTTGAAGGTCACTAAAATTGGAACAGACGTCAACTGGTTTAGTCACATTTTCTTCTTCTTCTTTTGGCTTTTCCCTCTTCAGGTGTTTCCACAGTGAGTCATCTTCCTCCATCTCTCTCTCTGTCCGCTGTGTCCTCTGTCCTCACTCCAACTACCTCCATGTCCTCTCTAACTGCATCCAGATATCTCCTCTGTCTTTTTCCTAGCAGCTTCATTTCTAACATCCTTCTACCAATATACCCACTGTCCCTCCTCTGGACATGTCCAAACCACTGTCCCTCCTCTGGACATGTCCAAACCATCTCAGTCTGGCCTCCCTAACTTTATCTCCCAGTTGTTCAACCTGTGCTGTACCTCTGATGATCTCATTCCTGATCTTATCCATCCTTGTCACTCTTGAGGAGAACCTCAACATCTTCATTTCCACCACTTCCAGTTCTGTTTCCTGTCTTTCTGTCAGTGCCACTGTCTGCAAACCGTACGACGTAGCTGGTCTCACTACTCTCTTGTAAACTTTTCACTTGACTTTTGCTGATGGTGCACCAAGTACGGGTAAAAGAGGTACAGTATACTGACTCGTGCTCCCTAGCGTCTGGTTTGGTTTAACCACATTTTAATAATTCACCAAAGAGGTTTCAGCATAAACTAGAATTTGTTCTGACTACCGTAGTTCACAAACCTAACAAAAGAGCCACCTGCTTAGGGGTCTTAAAACTAAAAGTGGCCTCTTGTTAATGTTCTCCTTCTCCTCAGGTGGTCTTTTACATCTTCGCCATGGTGGGGATGGAGCTCTTTAAGCACAAAGTGAAGTTTTATGAAGACTCCAATGATTCAGCAAAGACATATTGTGGAAACCCTCTGCTGAATAATACGGCCTTTGCACAACTCGGCTACTGCAAGAACAACTTCAACAACGTGGTGTCCTCCTTCATCCTGCTGGTGGAGCTCACTGTGGTTAACCAGTGGCACGATATCCTTTATACGAACACGCACCGCTGCTGGGCGTTTTGGACTTTAATCACATGGACCTGAGCTCAGTTGCTACACAATCTGGGGATCTACACATATTTATATAAACCTTAACTCAGCCTTTATTAACTTTACATTTCATGGATAAAGCAACAAAAATATGTTTTATGTTGCAGACTAATGCAACAGTTGTGTATTTTATCTGAGTACTTTACACTCGGTACTCCATAAAGTGAAAATAAAATCAAAATTTTATACAATTTTGCAAATTAACAAAAAAAAAACAAGTACTGAGATATAAAACTTCTGTAAGTATTCAGAGCTTGTACTTGGTATTTTGAAGAACCTGTAGCAGCAGGTCCATGTTAATGATCGACAGTACTGAACGTGAGGCAGGCACTAATAAGATGGGCAACGGTGTCTGAGTGGTTAGAGCAGTCGTCCTCCAATGCAAGAGTTGGGGGTTCGATTCCACCAGCAGTCGCATGTTGAAGTGTCACTGGGCAAGACACTGAACCCCTCATTGCTTCTGATGTGTGTCCCATCGGTGTATGAATGTGATAAAGCTCTGATTAGTCTCTATAGATGGATAAATGGGGCACAGATTGTTGCAAAGAGCTTTGAGTATCTTGATAAGATAGAAAGGAATTAAACAAGTACAGTCCATTTACCATTTAAGATTGAGAAGTACAGGGACAGACGTTTCTTTAAAATCAATGTTTATGTGGAGGTCATTTCCAACTTTAATGAGTGCTGTTTCAGTATTGTGTGCAAACGACGAGACGATACATTCTCATTTTCCACGACGACCTGGCAAAGAGGCAGCAGATACAGAAGTGGTAAGACGGCAGAAGGACAACGTATGAACAACAGACAACCAAACGTCAAATCTTACACACAGTTTAACAATATTACTCAACTGTTACAAGTTTAGTAGCTCAAAGTGAGACGCTGTCCAGGTTGTACATCCTGCAAGGTGAGGTGTGGCCACTGCTGTTCTGTTCGGTATCAATAATTGCTTCATTAAAAATTGAAGCAAAATGTTCACACTTTTCTAATTCTACATACTACAGTACTACATACTATTTCAGATGGAAATGTTGTTTCTTCAGTCACATTTCCAATTTGTTTTGGCCTTTGTTTGTTTCCTTAATGTGACTTCACTGCTCAGCAGTGGCTTTGCCACAGTCACTCATGTGTCAGCCAGGATCTTCTTTGTCCTCTTCCACATCGTGGTTGTAATTATCATCGTCAAGTAAGAACAAAATCACCTTCTCACACGTTGTCTTTACTGCCCTGGTCAACTGCACTCAGAAAAACTGCATCATGTCCAAGTACTTTTATTGACCCGTCTTCGCTAACAGTGAATTGTTGGCCAAATGTTTCTGTTGTACCTCTGTCTCTTTGTCACCTCTCAGTATTTTTGTGGCGTTCGTCCTCGAGGCGTTCTTTGTGGAGTACTCCATGGATAAAAATGACCTGCAGACATCTCTGGAGAAGAAGATTGAGGAACTGGAGCTCGCTGTGGCACAGTATGTTACCATGGCAACCCCTCACATCTCTGCATCTAAATATTAAACAGCGTGTAACCATTATATGGATGAATCTTTTAATATACACTTCATGGGCACTTTATTAGGAACAACTGCTTGTAGCTAAACGCCTTTAGGTATGTAGACATAGTGACAACAACTTGATGAAGTTCAAACCGGGCATTAGAATGGACTGTGTGACTTTGAATGCAGCACGGTTGCTGGTGTCGTGTGTTCTGGTCTGAGTCTAATCCTTGAAGTAGATGGGTTACAGCAGCAGAAGACCCTACCAGGTGCCACTGCACTGTCGGCTGAAAACAGGAAAGTGAAGATACGCATCACACAGGTTCACCAAAATTGGACAATAAGGAATTGGGGGGTTGGAGAGTTGGATTGCCTAGATCGATGGATCTGCATTCACTGAACCACAATAATCTCCACAGCCACCAGACCTCAGTCCAATCATCACCTTGTGATGTGGTGGAGCTGGATGTTCACTTGTTGGAACCCAGACCAGTGGTCATTCCGTTTGTAGCGGGAATATCAGAGAAACTGAGACATTTATTTTCTAAACACAACGTCCCAGTGGCTTTTAAACCCCAAAATATATTACGGCAAAGACTGGTTCATCCCAAAGATCCAGTCCCCCGGCACAAACAGAGTAATGTTGTGTATGTTGTTCAGTGTCAGGAGGGTGATCAGTCTTACGTCGGGGAAACTAAACAGCCACTGGCCAAAAGGATGGACCAGCACAGAAGAACAACATCATCAGGCCAGGACTCTGCGGTCTACACTCATCTCCAGGCCAGCGGTCACTCTTTCAGGGATGAAGATGTTCACATCCTGGACAGAGAGGAACGATGGTTTGAGAGAGGAGTAAAGGAGGCCATCTTTGTGAAAAGAAACCGTCCATCATTAAACAGGGGTGGAGGCCTCCGGGTTCAACTGTCCCCCTCTTACAATGCTGTGATTGCTAGTATCACTCAGCCCCCTGTGAATAGTAAACAGCCATCAGGTGCTAATGATCCATTGTTAGGCTGATGGTCCTTCTTGAGCATGTGATCAGCTGGTTTTGGTTGTCAGCAGCAAACTGGTTGATCCACTCTGAGAAGGTGCTGTTTATAAAGGCTCCAGTATACTGCCGCGTATGTCCGTTCACGCGTACGTACGCGTGTACTGTATGCAGACAGTTCAGACATGATACTCCAGCGTACACCCCGAGCAGCTGCAGAGCAGCTTCACAGACAAGGGGTGTTTGCCTTTGGGACAAATTGAGGTCGCTGATTGGTCATTTGCTGACACGCCTACTGGATTGATTGACAGGTCGGAAAAAAGAAAAAAGCGAGCGCTGGCAGCCTCCGCCGCAGCGGTGTTCTGTGTTTATATGTTGTTAATAAAAAAATCTAAAAAATAAAAAAAAATAAACAGAGTGCTAGCTCTACAGCCCACACATCAGACCAGCCCACCAGTGTTGTGGCTTTGTGCCACAATCGTGTTCAAAACAGCTGAGACGGTCACCTTAGTTCAAAAGATTTATTTGACAAACAGGAGTTACAGATATTCAGAGACAAACAATTACATTTGTAAAATATATGCATATATTTGGAGCATTAAAGAACGAACCGTCTCAGTCTGCGCTTCCCCGGAAATGCTCGCTGGGCGTGTGTCATTTCCGGCTTTTACCAAAGTTTGAGAAGGCTAGCTTTCTGATTGGTTTAGACCCGGTTACTATGGTTACTGGTCTAGCCCGCCCCCCTCTTACTGCGTTCCAGAGATAAGATATGGAGGCTTGGTTTCTTCGTCTGCGTTCAGACTGTTCATACTCTAGTTTCAGTTTAGCTTGATTATACCTTATTGATATTTGAGTTAAAATTGTTTCTTTCTAGGAATAATTAACAACTATTAATTATTAACTAACTCATGTTTATGTGTTTTTAATTGATCCCTCTGGCTTATTCTTGTGTATCAGTTCAGCTAAAGTCACCCTGCCCCCACATCTAGCAAAACTCTATTAAACCTGTGTCGACCCTGTATCCAACAATGATTAAACGATTAAATGCTAATTGTTATTATTAAGAGAGAACCTGAGGGATTTTATTTAGTCAAACTATATTAAGTCTAAATTAAAGAAATGTGTTCTAGCTTTATTTATGTTAATCAGTGTGTATGTGAACTTGTAAAATTATCATTAGCTAATATAAGATAATATGTAAAGGTAAAATAGTTAGAATTAGTAAACATTTTCTATAAATATAGTTCAACCCTGGAAGAAAGACACACACACACTTTGTATAACATGACATTTGAATGCTTGATAGGAAATATAAAAAGATATAAAAATATGAAATCCAGCACCAGGAAATCTCCAGACCCTCCCACAGTCACACTGGACCTGAGTTTAATTTGCTCCTGACAAATTCCTCCATTTCTCACCATTTCAGTCATGGCATCAACGGAGGAGGAAGAGATCACTGCCTCTTGGCAAAAAACAAAGGAAAAGGCCAGATCAGGGATGAAGAAGGGGAATTTAATACATTGGTGTTGCATACAAAACAATCCGTCGCTGGGCAGTTTATTGTGCGACACCGCGTACGCGTACGCGGTCGTAAAAATTTGAGGTTTGCACAGAGGCTACGCTGGGGGGTACGCACGTACCTCTGCGTATGGATGTACGCGGCAGTATACTGGGGGCTTTAGACTGAGCTGAATACAGCACCTCAGATTGAGTAAGTCTTTTGGATGAAAGACGAAACGTTTTTAAATTATTTTGTTTTTGTTTTGCTTTGTTTTGTTTTTTTGAATGTCCAGAGGACCAGATTTGACTTTTTTTGATATAAGCAGCATGGTTCTGTTTGCAGTGTGGTTCTCTTAACAACATGATCTTGATAGCAGCGCAGTCCTGTTGGTAGCATGGTACTGTTAGTAGCATGGTACTGTTAGCAGCATGGTACTGTTAGCAGCATGGTACTGT